CTCCCCAAAACCCCAAAACCCCAAAACCCCAAGAGGGATTCGCTCAGTTGAGTAATAATATTTGTTATCAGGAACATGAGTGACAGCAAGCCTGAAAAATCTGTGATGCAAGGAGACAAGAAGCTAGATATGGATGAGGCACAAGACCTCTCCCAGTGGTGCATGTGTCCATCAGAATTAATTCAAGGTGAGTCCTATAGCACTCTATTGCAGAGAATTTGCAAGTTGAGATCCTCAGTAACAAAGGGGCCAGAAGCTGTAAAGCTGGCAGTGAAGGCTCCTCATATTGCTAGTGGACTCCTCAGGCTAATTTGCTCCAAATATCCACAAAAAATCATTGAAATTTTAGCTAAAATTAAACATTTTATTCTGAATACTTTCTTGATTTTTGAAATTTGCAGGAATCATAAAATCTAATAAAGATAAAATCTGAAATATAGCAGCTCTGAATTTAAGATAGGTGGCTTATATGGCAATCCAGAATTGCTATAAAAGGGATTTCCATTACCATTATCCATTTAAACCTCCAAACAATGTTTGCTCTAGCAATGGGGAGCTATCATTGGCTATTAGCAAGACAATATTCAGCTAAGACTTTCTTCCAGAATGAGCATAAATAATTAGATAAAATACTTCTCAAGTTGGCATAGAATACGAACTTTATAGGAGAAGGGCTTTCACCCATGGTGCCAATGCTGGGAATATCAAGAGCCTTACTTACCTTGCTACAACAGCTGGAATTATGAATTTTAGCATTATTTTTAGTACTTTTTGTCTCTTTAATGAGTGTCATGCTGTCATGTTAAATTATTTCCATGTTTCCCAGTCTATTATAATATTTGAGAATATAATGAATTTTCAGAAAAAATGAGAGCTCTTGTAGAAAGAATCTCAATAGATACTTTCAAGAATCCTTCTTTCCTTCAGATTAAAAGACAAGCAATTATTCTGAAGGGAATATATTATTAATAATATTTTCATGAATGCTATCATTGTGTTATTAAAAGTAGTACCTGCAGGATTGGAACCTGAGGATCCATTAAACCTGCAAATTTTGAGGAATAGCAGATTACTAAATACCATTTTACGTATTAATAATAATAAATGAAAACTTCTCTAGAATTTAAATACAATTTCTTCAGTTTTAAGCTATAAAACTGTCAGATACCAAAGCTTTGAGACTAGTCGTGAAAAGAACTAAAACTAAACACATAGTTCGCCTGGTATATTAGTTTGGCTCTTATACAAATGAGCTTCTGCAACGATAGTTTTAGCGAATTTATATTCCCATGCTCAATTGATCTAGCCTGGTCGGTTATTAGTAACTCCATATTAAATTCTTGGTAAATAATTTATTGTTTGTTCCATTATTAATAATAATCAATGTTTAGCTCAGAGTCAGGGGTTTTGGGGTTTTGGGGTTTTGGGGTTTTGGGG